CATCCTTTATACGGGTTTTAGATATGATCTATTCTTAGAGTGGTATGTGTTCACCGCTTTGATTGGTCTTATCAATGATCTGTGGCTCACAGTGTTTTTTTTGTGGATCTCATTCCTTAGCAACAGTACATTTAGGATGTATTTGTATTCCCAATAATGCTTCTCTGTTACAGTCTAAGGTAGTAAACATTGCAAATGAGCATCTGAATGTCTTTGTTTAGACCGACAGAAAGCTGTAATCATTGACAAAAGAAAAAAAAAAAGTCCTCTTTTAAATTTTAGGGTTTTACATAATGTCTGTTCTTGACCAGGTTCCAAGGCTGTTTAAATAAAATACTTCATTATAGAAAAACAAATATTCCTAGCTCAGCTCCCATCATTAAATTGAATAAATTATTAAATGAATAGGAAACTAGGGATGTAACAATATTGACATTATCCCGCTATCGCAGTGGTAAACGTGTCTCGATATCGTCGTGGTTGGGTTACAATAATAAAAGGACAGGTATCCGTCAAAAAGCAAGAGGATTAAAAACTACATAGACCATGATCCTTTGACACAGCGCAAATTGCGCTGTGTCGTCATACCAACCGTTCTCAAGCCAATAGGAATGCATGGGGATTGCACGCTGTCCACACAAGCTCAAAGCAAGCTAGCATGGCCGACAGCGAAAGTTGTAAGGATGAAAACAACAACCCCGAAGTTGAGATTGTGCCAGCCCCTGCAGCTTTTAAGCAAGATGTCTGGAAACATTTTGGTTCTGCCGTGTCAAAAAACGCAAAGGGAGAGAAGGTGGTGGACAGACAATGGACTATATTCAAGCACTGCCACAGTAAACTGCGATAGGTCAGTGTTTTTTTTAAAGGCTTTTTGACTAACTATTTTATTTAAATTTAAGTTATGTTCCTAAATACCAGTTTTAAAAGGCTGCTTTTTTGACTTCACTTGATATTTCTTTGCACTTAAAGGGAATTCCCTATTGTTTACAATTGTTCTGGTTGCTTCTTAACTTGAACATTGCACAGAAGAGCAACGGAATATTGATGTTCCTGACTAAAACTTGCACTTTAAAAGCACTATGTGATCAGCGTTTTATATTGTAATGATCCATAAATACAACAGTATATTGCCTGTTGACTGGCAAAAGCAGAAAAAATGTCAAATGCCAAAATATCGGAATAAATATCGTACCGTGAGGTCAATATCGAAATTGTATCGTACTGTGAGATTTTGATTTCGTCACATCCCTATAGGAAACCAAAAAAAAAAAAAAAGCTGTTTTTGGACAAGTATATAGAACCGTCCTGCTTTCATTCAGTGATGGTTAGTTATTAATCACTTACTAGCTCTTAAACCACATACAGTACAAAATTTTAAGTATCCTGCCACAGGGGTGATAAATTCACAATTTGGGAGTCAATGACTCCCCTGTATACTAAAGTATTCTTCGGTCACAAATGAGATAATCTTCCAACAGCTAAAGGTTGGCTTGAACTTGGGTGACGTAAGTGTGGGGCTGAGTGTTTTAGTTAAACCTCATTAGAGCTGTGGAAATTTAAACTCAGCAACCTTAATATCTATACTAAAGTTGTAGTCAAGACTGGGCCCAAATTATATCTGCCTGTGAAAAACCACTTAAGATACTGCTGTTAAAGCTGGTTAGAGGATTTGAACAAAGACGTGTCTTTTTTCCTCTACCTGTATTCTGCATTGCTGTACATTCCAAGTATTTAGCTCCTCACACAATCAGTTGCTGACCTTGACTCTTTTTTTTTTTTTCATTTTAAAAACTAAGCTTTCTAATGGTCATAATAAAATCCCTAATCACTGTCATCATAGACAGCAGGGAATTTGAGCAACCGCAGCGTGACGAGGAGAAACAGTCACAGTCTTGTAGTTTTAGAGGAGGACTTGAAAAGTGAGAATTATATCAGGGGAGTGATAAAAGGCAGCTGACAACATAATTGACTTGTCTGAACAACAGCATGGCTATGCAATCAGATTTCTCATCGACAGAATGTCTTCCTGCTTGCCCTTGCCCATTCCGTTCTCGTTTGATGAGCAGCAATCATTTCACGTCGCTGAAACAAAGCTGCCACAACTAATCCGAAAGCTCTGATAGGAATTTCATAATCCCCTATTTGGATGCTGATGATGATTTAGCCATTCTAACTGCAGGTTTAGTTCGGACACATACTTCCTAACATTTAACAGGCAGGGACCTCTGACTCTGGCCCGATTAGGTACGATCTATAAAATTTAGGAAGGTCAGAGGGGCAAGATCACAAAGACTGGCAACAAACATTGCACTACTTTAACCCCAATACTAGTTGCTTCAAAGGGTTGTAAACAGTTTGAAAGTCCAACTCACGTTATAAAACTTCCCTCTCAAGAGAAAATGCCAAATCATTTTCAGACGTATTAGGCTGGCATAACAGCTACACTTTTAGAATACAATAAAGTCTGTAAATAACAGAACTAAGTCTTAATGGCTTCCGAGAGGAAGTCTATAACAGAGCCCAAAACATACCAAAGTAATATGGGTTTGGGGGGGTGAAAATGACATTTACCAGGCTGACAACAGAGCATAAGGAGCTGGGAAACCAAGACGTTTATGTTGAGCCTCAATGTGACAGTGAGGCATTAGTTTAAGAACCTTGGGGAGAATCAAACGCAGATGGTCTCTGTGTTGGCTTGAATAGAAAGTGCAGACTGGTAGGCAAGCCTTGGCCGGCTTGTGCTCTCCCGAGAACTAGTGTAACCTCAGTGTGAAAACCAAAATGACAGTGATAATATCCAGTTAAACCTTAGAAAACAAGGAGTGCAAAGTCTCTCATTCTCACACTTGGCATATAGAAATATTTTTCATCAATTTATACAGGAACTCGCCTTCACTTTCAGACTGATAAATAAAAGTATTTTTTATACAGCATGCGTAATATAAATATATTAATAAAGGAGCTAAAGCCCAAAGCACTCATGTTCTTAATGACAGGTTTCTAAAAAGGTCAACTGTCGATATAGTACAGCTCATGGGGAAACAGCCTTCATATTCTACTAGTTGCAGAGATGCTTTAATTGCTTGTTTGATTGCTGCTTAATCAATTCTATAGAATGTAACAGCATGCGATAAAAAGGCAGCGGTAACAATCATGTTATGATCTAATGATAATGATCTGGTACATGGGGAGAAACCAGGGAACAAATCAGGGTAGTCATTTTTCTAAATGCTGAAAAGCATATGCTGATTACGACAGCCATTATTGGAATTCCCTAAATGTATTGAAGACCAGCATCTTATTGATCATTTAATTTGAGCCGAGAGATGTTTGACATTCTGATAGTTGATAAGAAGCAGGACTCAAGAAACAGAATACATGATTGATCCAGTTTTTATGTCCAGAAATGTTTCTGCTTTAAAATCACCTCTACTGGATTCAGTCTATAGGAAAACATTTGCTACCATGTTTTCATAATAACCATAAATGAGGGCTAAAGAATAAAAAGATTTTAAAAAATCCTGAGGCAGATGTCTAACTAAAACTGAAAAGATGTATGTGTCATACTTCATATGAGCTCTAAAATTGTAATTTTATGAGAATAATTCTCTATATCTATGGTGGTCCTAATGACTGATTATCACCTGCCCAAAAAATGATCACATCTTTAATACCTATAATACAATTTTCAGATTTTCTCAGATCTCTATTAATTGGTTGCTTTAATCATGGTTTTCAACTTCATTTTAACTTCTGAAAACCTACAGAAGAAAAGGTTGAAGAGTAGAATCAGAATCATGTATTTATTGAAAGCCTATGCTCCAACTTTCCTCATTACTTCATATGTAGGTGGAGTTTCATACCAAGTATTTCTAACTTTTTGAACTGTTAAGCTGACCTTTCTATATGTCAATAACCGTGATACTGCCTTAGCTTACTGGTGATTGAAGCTCATGTGAAATAAATATTTGAAATAAGTTTTTGTTGGGGATAGTTTGATTTACTGGCATACTGCATACTACAGCAGGCGCAAAAAACAAAGCTTGATTTAGCGCGTATCGGATCCGTTGTCGTGAAACAACACATCACTGGTCTTTAATCAGGGGTAATTTTAATCTTAATCAAGCAGACTTTAAAAGCTTGGTCATGAACTGTATTGGCTCTTGCAATTGTTGAACAGACCTTTGAGTTTGTGCAACTGCTACGAAGGTCACATCTATGCAAAGAGTGGAGTCACTGTCTACAGTGATGGAGCTTTGCATCTTATTAAAGTCTAAAAAATGCATGCATGTGTTTATTGGCTAAGTAGAAAGAGGTTTTTTATACTTGATAAGGATTTGTTCTTTGGTAAACATGTCAAGGAAATCTCAATAGCTTAGAAAACTGTGTCAGCTTCTGAAAGAGACATTTGTGTCCTTGATAAATAATCCATGTTTCACTATGTGACAGGAAATGAACAAGTTAAAGAAAAGTTTACTGCTTTATACTGTATATAGAAAATGCAGCTGCAGGTACACGACATCAAGTGAAAATATAAAGCCTAGAAGTTGATGCAATGAAAACGTGAAAAAAAATATTACTCCAGCACCTTCTTTCATTAATGTTATGCAGATTTATTCATATGTTGCAGAGAGAAATATATGCGATTGGGTTCATTGCAGCAGAAGAATAGTTGAATATCATTACGGTCAAGAAATACAACGCATTTTTTGCTGTCCTAAAACCAAGTATATCAGAATGGCCTTTTCTATCATAACACAAACGTCTTTGCCAATAATTTAATGAGCAGCATTTAACAGAAGCCCATGTGTTTTATGGGAGTAAGAGATGGGTTTCCTCTACAATGGCATACGGACAAGACTGGTGCAGAAAGTGACAAATAGATGCTGGTGATGACGAGCTGTCTGATGCTCATGTAGGGACCAGGCGTGCAAAAATCTACAGCTGACATTTAACTCATAGTATGTTTAGAAGCTGACAAATCAGAGATGATGACTTACCCCACATGGCTGGAAGATCAGGCCGTCAACTTCATGGCTGACCTGGGATGTGAAGCTGCCTTCCAGGAGCTGAAAAAAAGAAAACATAAATGGTAGCTTAAAGTCTAAGCTAGTTATAGATCCGATTGTTTTATAAATTCAGCTCCAGCCCCAGAGCCTAGCAAAACTTTGGACAAAAACCAACAAAAGTATTGAGCTTTAGGAAAAAAGCTTATAGATCTAAGCACAATCATGATACCATCTTTTAATCCGTCAAGCTCTGAAACTAAGCCCTTATCTGTCGCCTGATGACACATGACAGAGATCCAAATCTGTAACCTGACAGGTCAGGCTTAGGGGAAGAACAAAGAAAATCATTATGTTTCTTATGACTGGAACAGACTAAGTTTACCGCATCCATTAATGACGACCTGGACAACCGAGTCAGAGGATGAGAGAGCAGCAGTATTCCTGACAAGACAAACCCAAGGGACACCACGGAGGTGTAAAATAACAGCAAGTTAGCTTTAATGTGAAAGACATCAATGGCTGAGGCCCCTAAAGCCAGTGTATCAAATATTCTAAATTGATGATTATGATCTAACTCTAGTTCCATTGGGGAATGTATGAATCTATTCCCAAGTTTAGTTTGTCTCTTTCTGACTTCAATTTAAAGTAAAGAAAATAGTAGAATTTGAATTTTAGTAGATTTTGCAAAATTAATGTGAATAATACCTAAAAGAGTGTAAATACTTTGTGGGGTGTTCAGTAAGCCAGGAATATGCCTGAAGGCTTTCTTACAATGAAAAACAAATGTTTTAAACCTTCTAAATGGCCCTGATCTTTTCTAAATGAATAAAAAGGGCCAGGCGGGTTGCAACAGTGTAAAAAACCTTATTTGTATTCTGCTAGAAAAGTAGGCATTTCTTAGTATTGGAATCAAACTGCTAATATGGTCAAGTACAAATAGCTGCCAACCCTCTTTCTTGAACTATAAAGAAGTTGGAAGAAAAAAAAAGTTCAGCATTTGCAAAACCTATATATATTATCATCCTTCATGTTTATTTCTACCACATTCCTTTTATGTATTACATTTTGTGGTTTTGTGGTTGTTTTTTTTTTGTATTGATGACAATATTAGTGAAAAACAATCTCCAACTTCTTGGCCATCAAAGTTGATTCATGTCTGATGAAATAGTTTGCTGAGTTCTGAAGGCTTTCACTGATCAATTTCATTTCAGTCCTTGTACTGTGCCTTGAAAACTTTATTGGTATGAGTATGTCTGTCAATTTTTATAGACTTTATTTTTTTGAGTTATTGTTTTTTGAAAGTATTTATGTTTCCATTATAGGCATACCTTTGTGCCTGATGTAGAGGGCAATCCTAGAAAAGCATGCCATTGTTTTCATCCTGGCCTTTAAGTTTGTGTGTAAAAATATATGTGATTTGTAGAAAACCTATATTTAGCGAGGAAAAGAAGTATTTGAACACCCTGCTATTTTGCAAGCTCTGCCACTTAGAAATCATGGAGGGATCTGAATTTGGCATCGTAGGTGCATGTCTACTTTGAGAGAATTAGTGTAAAAAAAAAAAACAAATTCAAACACCTATTTGAAATCAACGATATATTTGGTGAAGTAGCCTTTTTTTGCAATTACGGAGGTCAAATGTTTCCTGTAGTTTTTCACCAGGTTTTCACACACTGCAGGATGGATTTTGGCCCACTCCTATACACAGATCTTCTCTAGATCAGTCAGGTTTTGGGCTGTTGCTGAGAAACATGGAGGCTGAGATCCCTCCAAAGATTCTTTATTGGATTTAGGTCTAGAGACTGGCTAGGCCACGCCAGAACCTTTATATGCTTCTTCCAGAGCCACTCCTTGGTTATCCTGGCTGTGCGGTTCAGGTCATTGTCATTTTGGAAGACCCAGCCTCCAAAAATCTTTAATGCCCTAACTGAGGGAAGGAGGATGTTCCCCAAAATCTTGCAATACATGGCTAACTTTCAAGGCACATTACATACAGTATGCGGAAGGTTAGAATCCTGCTTTATTTAATTATTTTATTTGCAAATTACACTTTACTAAAGAGGTTTTATTTGTTTATTGTTTTTTATGAAAGTATTTATTGCAAAGTTTGCTTTAAAATAGTAGGAAAGTAGAATATGTCATTAACTGAGATGGAAGCAATGATCTAGTGAGGCTGAAAAGTAAAATAGGAAAAAGACCAAAGAATTCTCCCGGGTTTTTACTGCAGTACAACTAAGAAGGACAACAACCACTTTTCCACATCAGAGACACTTAATATTCATTGGTTGTAGACCTACAACAACAAAGGATATTTTTACAGCTATTAAATGCAAAAGCATCTTGTTCTCTGCCTTAATAGCTGGCTGGCAGTCTATTGTTAAGACTTTGATGGACTTTAGAGCAAGCCTCCAAATGGAAAACTAACTTTAAAGGGATGCTATGTTTATGAAATGCTCATTAAAGACGTTCCTTAATATTTCTATAAAGAATTTTGAGAAAACAGAATCTTGTTACCATGTCCTGTTAAATTAACAAATGTCTTTATTATCACTTATCTATTATTGCCAAACTTTATGGAGGATTTTCAAATTTTAAAAGCAAAATCAAATTTGTATCTATTTCAAATCTACAAAAATATGGATATAGAGTTAACAAAATTGGTCAGCATTGGTTATATCTTACCAACATAATTATTGCAATTTTAGCTTAATTGGTCTCATCTTACTAGTTAAACTTAAGGAATAAAAGGTTGACCGTAAAATCACAACTCATGGGCGTATAAGACTGTTAATCTGTTATGAAAAGAATAACTACTCTTTTTTTATAAAGATTTTCAAATCTTAAGCTTAACGCCAACATGTTTTATTACAAACATAATTATACACATATGTCAAAAACTGTGGAAAACTTGGAAAAACTTTTCTGTGTGTTCATGCAGAGGGTGAATCTAAGTCAAGCAGGAAATAGGCCTGGTCTATAAAAAAAAAAGCATTAGTGCATTACTGTGAATATCAGGTATCGTATCCATACCATCAAGATTAAATCTAGCAGAAAGCAGGTTTTAGAAATACAGGAAGGTAGCTAAACATAAAATGAAAGTATTATGCAGGGAAAACCATTTACATTAAAGTGTGTCTTGTTTTCTGATGTAGTGGGAAAAAAGTGAAAAATTCCTGTGCAATTTGTCTTGCAGTGAGTGATGAGGTCGTTGAGCCTACCAGATCTGAGAAGTGAGACACACCTTGGACTCGTGGCCCATTTACACTGATTTACAGTCTACTTGAAACTTGAACTCTATCACTTAAAACATTGCTGCAGACAAAGCTCTTAATTTGTTGATACCTATGGAATATTTCATAAAAAAAAATCACAATGTTAAACAAGGTTTGTAAAATTCTCCCCAAGAACCGAAGATTTGATCCTTGTGCCAAATAATCATTGTATTTAATCACAGGGGCATCTAAAATAATAGTAATTCAAGGAGAATGTATCTAGGTGTCACAATAAGTAGTATCATTTTGCACACACCAGCCACAATAAATCCCCTTATTTCCTGCTCAGACATTCTAATTGAAGGATAAAGATATTACAGCCGTTTACTCTTTGTAGATAAAGCATTTAGCAGATATGAAGTGAAGTGCCAATAATTGTCACAGCCCTGGTGAGTAGTCACTTTTATTTTCTGGAGGAAGATCAGTTGTCATGACGTTATGGTGCAGCCTAAAAATAATCCAGATATACAGGTAGCATAATCTGAAATAAGTTACACAGTGTAGTGAGATAAAGTAATATATAAGTTATGAAAAGTTTTTAAACCATGTCTCAGACTAAGGCCATAAACCTCTCATCCTTGAGTCCTTTTAGAACTGTAACCATTAAAAAAAGATGAGCATGTGGAATCCGTATCTGCCAATGAATTAGCCAGCTGTTTATTTTATTTTATTAACAAACAGCTAAACAACGGCATACTAAACTATTAAGCAGTCTGTGGTCACAACATTCCGGGTTGAAAAGATTCATCCCCAACAGAAAACATAGAAGCTCATTGGCTATGTGAACGATGACATAAAGCAGACAGGGAGCTTGCGCTCTGCAGCTGTAATACTATGTTCCTCAGCTGCGACGCAGTAAGTTTTAAATACAAAAGGTCCTCGTTTTGGATAAATTGATCATGCAAATGTCTCCAACTTTAGCGTCTTATGAATGAGAAAAAAAAAAATTGTAAGTTGTGTGGAAAGGATGTTTCTGGTAAAGCAACAGCAAGTTGCACAGCTAAAGTTACAGTCAGAGGGAATAGCTTAGCACAGCCTTTAAAGAGCAGAGAGGCAAGGCAAGGCAAAGCACACTTGTAAAGTATAATTCAGTACAAAGACAATGCAAAGTGCTTTACATGATTAAAATACAGGAAGATAAAACAGAATAAAAGCAAGTAGCAAAAACATGAAAATGAATAAATAAATAAAATATGAGGAAACAAAAAATAACATCAAAAACAGTTGGACTAAAGAAAATAAAAAGTTGAACTAATGATGTTTCAGTTGAACTATTTAACTAGAGCAGTCAAAGCAATCCTAAACAAATGTGTTTTTAGTCTTGATTTAAAGGAACTCAGGCTTTCCGCACTTTTACAGTTTTCTGGAAGTTTGTTCCAGATAAGTGGAGCATAGGAACTAAATGCTGCTTCTCCATGTTTAGTTCTGGTTCTAGGTATGCAGAGCAGGCTGGAGCCAGAAGACCTGAGTGGTCTGGAGGGTTGATACACTGATAGCAAGTCTGTGATGTATTTAGGTGCTAAGCCATTCAGAAATTTACAGACTAACAGAAGTATTTTAAAGTCTATTCTCTGAGATACAGTTAGCCAGTGTAAGGACTTTAGAACTGGGGTGATGTGCTCTACTTTCTTAGTCTTAGTGAGGACACGGGCAGCAGCGTTCTGGATCAGCTGCAGCTGTGTGATCCACTTTTTAGGCAGACATGTGAAAACGCTGTTGCAGTAATCAGTTAGAGGACTAGCTTGTCATCACCAACAGAGAGACGTGCTGTGACATTATGAGATTTGT